CATCTTCAGGGTCATCCCTAACCCTGGAAGCGGAGACCTCTCGACCTCTAACCTGTTTGGGCGGCATGCTCTGGAAATAAACATAGAAGGGGTCAAGTTAGTACCTAATAGTCAAGAGGCCAGAAACAAAGTTCAAGAAGAAACGGAAGCATGTTCGGATCAGAGAAGCCTTAAAGTCTGGAACCCAGACGCGAAGATAAAAAGAAAACTCATGCAGGGGTCCCCAGAACCCAGAAACGAGCATGAGGACACCTAGTAAGAGCAACTGAGCCTAAGTGAACAATGTCACGCAGGCTCAACCCCAGGTTCACGATCGACAACCAAGTAAGTGCATTCTCTTTTAACGAATCACTTTTTTGCAGGCATTAGATCAAGAATAACATAGAAAAAGCAAAAGGAATAAAGCCACTTACTAGTCCTTGAAGGGGCTGAATGCTGGGAAATAGGGGAGAACCACGAACGGAAAATGGACGCGGAAGTTGACGTTGGAGGTGGTAACTCCTGGTGGAAATCTGACAGAGTAACGGCGCTCTGAAAAATAGGCGACCATGGAACTGCTCCAAGGGATATATATATATATATATATATATATATACTCAAGGAAGAAGCCCAGCAGCCTCAGGAAAGTCTGAACGACCCCAGATTTTGACCGTTGAATTCAAACTGACCCCATCCAACTGTGAATCCGAAGAAACGTGATCCAATGGCTGGGACAAGAGCAGGAGAAATAAATCTGATCAAATGGTTGTGACTTCCCCGCCGACTGCCAAGTATCGCCAGGGTATGGGAGATGTGATTGTTGACACGATCGACAAGACTGCTCCATTGCCCGAGAAACTTGCTGCAATGATGGTGCTGTACCGACAAGCAGCCGCAATGATCTCCAGGAAAGAAGTTGCCACGTGGTACTCTCGACGCTGCATAACCTGGAACATCGCAATGCAATATCCCAGTCTAGGGGTAATTGTTACACCACGATCGAGGGATCGATCGTTCTTCTGGACGGCAAGCGCCGAGGCCTCCCTGTCAAGAATCGGTCGCTAACGTCGAGGAAACTATTGTGCCTAGGGTGCCCTTTGGACGTCGGGAGTTTATGCAAGATAACGTGCATCGAGAACCCTACTTGAGTGGTGAGGGTCACGACGTTGAGGTAGCAGCCCAGTCCAATCCAAAGATAGTCATGTCAACTCGAGGAAAGATACATTGTACAAACTACTACTGTCGAGGTCATGAAATTAGGTAACCGGTAAGGGTGGTTAGCCTGATTTGAAAGCTATGATCATGGAATACAACTGTCAAATCCTAAAATTTAGGAAAAATGGGTGATCTCCTCGGTAAATGGAAAGGAAGCCTCTCATATGTATAAGGCCTATAAATAGAGCCATGGGATTTCATTAAGTTTTTTGGGCACTATTCTACTACTCCAGAGATATTGTAATCAACAAAATATTAGTGCATCCACAAGTAGTGGTGGAACGTTAGGCCGGCGGGCAGGTCCACTGCCCCAATTTTTTGGGCTCGGCGGGCAAGCCCATACGCCGGCCCATCCAAAGTGGAAATTCAGGCTTGGGCTCAGGCAACCCAAATTTGGGCACCTCGCCGGAGCCCGCCGCCATGTAGGCTTTGTCAACTACCATCCGCCGGAGTTTTTTTAAAATTTTTCCGGCCAAGCCTGATTTGCCAGACCCACCTGACTGCCCGAAAAAGGTTAAAATTCAGACCGTTGGTGCCCAACCCAAATTTTGCCCGAAAACCCGAATTTTGGCTGAATGCCTAAAAACCCGTCCAATGGCTAGTTTTTTACCTAAACCCGACCCGATGAACCTAAAGTAGTCGTTGCACCCTAAATTTTTTGAAAAAAAATCAATTTTTTAACCCAAAAATTTCCCTATAAATACCCCCCATCCCCCACACATTTTTCTCACTCAAACTCTCTCAATCTCTCTCAATTTCTCTCAATCTCTCTCACATTTTTTTCAAAAACTATCACATTATCCTACAGCTCTCTCTCTCTCAAATCGCTCGTATTTTTTTTATAATGGATCCTTTTGGTTATAGTGGTATTCCCGTTGATGCCCAACACAAAGTGGAAGAAGGGCAATTTCCCACTAATGAATTTGTTACGCAGGAATCTACTAATCTGAGCCCTGCTAGACGTACTGGAGGTCATGGTCGTAATAGTGGTGGGCGTGGAGAAGCGGCGACGGTGAGTGCCAGTGCGACTACGTCTACAAGTGTTGCAACCTCTAGGAGGAAATGCAGGTGCACCTTGACAGTTTGGGATCACTTCGACATAATTGAGGAGATCGACAATGAAGGTAACACTAAACATATAGCTCAATGTAAATATTATTTATCTAAATTATAAGGTGACACTATTCATGGCACCACACACTTGAGAATACACTCTGAAAAGTGTCTTCAAAAGCTTAATCAATCCGGCGGATCTGAACTCCGCTAAACACAATTATCTTTTGATCGCGCAACCGGTGGTTTAACCACTTGGAAATACGATCCGCAAGTAGATCGTATGAAAGTTGCACGAATGATAGCTGCTTTAGATCAACCACTTAGTTTTGTAGAGCATCCTAATTGGCAAATATGTATTAAGATTGTACATAATCCTAATGCACAATTCACTTCAAAAACTACTATTCGGAAAGATTTATTAAAATTATTTAAAAAAGAAAAAGAAGCATTAATAAACCTTTTACACTCGACTAGCGGGTGCGTTGCATTAACGGCAGATATTTGGTCTGCCGTTGCCAATAAAGATTATTTAGCTGTAACCGGACATTACTTTAAAGGATTTGATTTAGATAAGAGAATATTAGGTTTTAAATGTGTTCTAGGATCACATAGTGCGGATTTAATATATAATACCATTTTAAATGTAATTGATGAATTTAGATTAAGAGATAAAGTAATGGCTATAACATTAATTAATGCTAGTGCCAATACAAAAGTAATTGAGTTCATTGAAAATGATTTAAGTTTATTCGGTGACGGTACAATTTTTCACCAACGTTGTGCATGTCACGTAATTAATTTAATTGTTAAATCTGGTTTAAAAGAAATGGGTAGTCACATTAAAAGAATTAGAGATAGTCTTGCATGGATTCAAGGTAGTAACCAAAGACAAGAA